GGGAAAGAGACAGAGAGAGAGAAAAAAACATCAATGTGAATGAGACACACTGATTGGCTGCCTCCTGCACACGCCCCGACCGGAGCTGGGGATGAAACTCACAACTGAAGTATGTGCCCTTGACTGGGAATCAAATCTGCAACCCTTCTGTCTGTGAGCCAGTGCTCTAACCACTGAGAAAAACCAGCCAGGGCAAAACTTAACTCTTCATTGCTGTATTTATTTCCTTCCTTGTTCCCTTTTGGAACAAGCCTATAGGTTAGTATCTTGTTATCACCACCAAATCAGGAAACTATGCCATTAAGTCTGCATTAAAAAAGGAGTATTAAACTCTTCAACTAGATATACAGGTAGCATCTGAATTTCCATTTAGTTAAAGGATGCCTACACAGCCCGGAAGTAAACAGGAGTGAAAAAAGATCCAAATCACAAAAGCTTTAAATTTTTTAAGTTGCAAAGAAAAACAATTTTATTCATATAATTTTTAACTAGTAGTTTTCCTTTGTCATTACCTAAGTATTTACAGTCAAATCATCTAATTCTCACAAATACTTTGCATTCCATTTTATACATGAGGTATGATGGATTTATAAGTTGAATTGCTTTACCCAAGATTACTCAGCCAATAAGTGCTAGAGGCAGATCTTCTTTTAATTTCCAATCTAGTCCTTTTTCTACAATATTATTTTGCTGTGATTACTGCTGCCAGCTCCACAGCCCCCATTTTACTAATGGGTAAAATGAGGCCCAGTGACAGGTCTTCTAAAGTCACCCAAAGTGATGTGGGGGTTAGGAGCAGCTGCTCACTAAGTCATCTGCCTCACTGCTGGACCATAGCTATATTTCCTGATACAACCTCCATCACCTAATGATCAGAGGAGTTTAGGAGGCAGTGCATTTCATTGGACCCACAAGGATATTGTCTCCAGGTTTCTGATAATCTACCCGTGCCTTTTATTGCCTTCCAGGAAATTGTAACAAAACTATTTTTCATCAGATAATTTTTTTAACTTTTTATTTGACTAGTTTATTTTCATGTTTATATCTCTGTTTTTTTCTTTAATTCCTTTTCCTGCTTATCTAATTCATTTATCTTAAGTTAAAAAGAAAAACACCGCCTGGGGCCTGTCAGTGGCGTTCATGGGTATAATTCGTGTACACTGGTAACTAGAAATGGTTAAACATTGTGCTAAAGTATATTAAGTACCTTTAACTATACTATCTACACTAATAAAAGAGAAACATGGTAATTGGCGTACGACCGCTACCCTTCCCATTGGCTAATCAGCAAGATATGCAAATTAACTGATAGCCAAGATGGCGACCGGCAGCCAGGCAGCTTAAACTGAACATGAGGCTTGCTTGCTTCAGTGACGGAGGACTCCAATGTTCCCCGCCTGCCGCTGCAGGCCTCTGAGCCTGCACCTTGAAACATAGTTACAAAAATAAAAGCTAAACAAAACCCCAGAAACCAGCTTTCAGCTAGCCGGGATCTCAGACCTGGAGTTGATACAGAGTTTCGATCGTAGAACCTAAACAAACCAGATACCTGCTTTCAGGAGCGAAGGCCTAAGAGCTGGAGCCTCAGAGCTAAAGCTGGCTCAGAATAAAAAAGAAAAAAAAAGAAAAATCGTTCCTGCTCTGTGCGTGACAGGGGGCAGTGCCCCAACCCCCCAATCAGGCCTACCCTGAGCGTGACTGAGGGTGGCATCGCAACCTCCCGATCCGCCCTGCTCTGTGCATGACAGGGGGCGGCGCCCCAATTCCCCAATCAGCCCTGCTCTGAGCCCTGACTAGGGGCTGCACCTTGGGATTAGGCCTACCCTCTGCGGCCCGAGAGCAGGCCTAAGCCAGCAAGTTATCTCCCAAGGGGTCCCAGACTGCAAGAGGGCACAGGCTGGGCTGAGGGACTCCACTCCCCCCCGAGTGCACAAATTTTTGTGCACCGGGCCTCTAGTTTGTTTATAAGTACGTATAAGTAAAATCCTGAGATAATGACTTTGAAGCCAAGGTGAGAAGAATGTGTGGGGAAAGGGGTTAGTGATACAAGAATACTTCTTAGAAGAGCACAGCTTTCCTAGAAGGACATATCAGAATTTCCAGGCAACAATGTGTATTTTTAAAAACATATTCTTTATGTTTTATATTTTATTTCTTTATATGACAGAAACTGCAGAATACAAAGGCTGATGAGATATTATATTCTGTAATTAATGTGGCTACATAGAAAATGGAATGATTATAGGAAGCATGGGTCTTAAGTTTCCATAGGTACTGCTCTAAAATTCAGCCTAAAACATTTGTTCATCCATTCATTCAACAAATATTTATTAACTACCTTCTATGTACCAGGTACTCTTCTGTGTACTAGAGATAGAACATTAAACAAGGTAGACAACCCCAGCCACCGGTTTGGCTCAGTGGATAGAGTGTCGGCCTGCGGACTGAAAGGTCCCAGGTTCGATTCCGGTCGGGGCATGTGCCTTGGTTGTGGGTACATCCCTGGAGGTCAGGGGGTGTGCAGGAGGCAGCTGATCGATGTTTCGCTCTCATCGATGTTTCTATCTCTCTATCTCTCTCCCTCTCTGTAAAAAAATCAATATAATATATTTTTTAAAAAGAATTCAATGTTATTTCCTCATCATCTTTAAAATTCCTAGTTATGGAGTGTAAACAAATGGTCTCTTTAAAATACTCTCATGAACAATGAAAACTTTCACTGCCAGGAATAGAATAAAACATAACAACTTGAAAGAGAAGTGAGGGGTGAGGAAGTCCTCCAGCCCCTGGAATAGTCAAGGAAGGCCTCTCCAAGGAGGTGGCCTTTGATATGAGACATGATTAATGAAAAGTCAGCCATATAAAAACCTTGGGGACACCTTTCACGAAGCAGCCTGAATTGGGAACAAGCTATGCATGTTTGCAGTGCTGAACAAAAGCCAGTGTGGTTGGGCTGGAAGAGTGAGGTTGAGACAAGAGGATGTCAGACAGATAGGCAGTGTCCAAATCATATAGGCCTTGCAGATTACAGTAAAGCATTTGGACTTTTTTTTTAATGTGGTGTGAGCCTGTTGGGTGATTTTACATAGGGGGGTTGATATAATATGATTTACATATAAATCATTTGCCTGCACTATGTGCAACAATGGAAACAGAGAGATTCATTAAGAGGCTATTACAAAAACCTAGGTGAGAGGTGATGGTAGCATGAACTAGGGTGATAGCAGTAAAAATGGAGTGCTCATATTTGAGATAGTTTTGGAGATGTTACTGAAAATAGTTGGTGGTGAATTGGATTGGGGATTGGGCAGACACACTGAGAGAAAAAAGTAATGAAAGGCAACTTCTGTGTTTCTGTCCTGAGCAAATAACTGGATAGAAATTAGAGCCATAAATTGAGATGGAAAAGAGCAGGTTTAGGTTGTGGGGATGACAGGTAGGCAAGTAACCTGTTTTCCCTTGTTAAGTTTGAGTTAAGTGGGACACTTTGAGCATTGATATCAACATAGAGATGATGAATACTCATTTGATTTACTTCTTGGTGGTGACTTCATACCAATTTAAGAACCTAATGCAAAATTGGCTATTGCTTCTTTTTTCATCACTTTCCAAGAATTTAGAAGTGGTAATCATAATTGCTTCCTGGATCCAAAATAGGTTCCTGATTCACCTCTACTAGTTTGATACATTGTTTGCCCATTCCAGCTCTTTATGCACTCCACTGACGGCGGTGATTTAGCCATTTGAAAATCATGATTGCATTTGTTGTTCACAGGAGAATTTTACATTACACGGCATTCTAATCTCTCAGAAATCCATGTTGCTTTTCATCTTTGTGTGGATGACAATGTGAAATCTGGAAACATCACTGCTCGCGATCCTGCCATTATGGGACTCCGAAACATCCTCAAGGTTTGCTGCACCCACGACATCACAACAATAAGTATTCCTCTCTTGCTCGTGCATGATATGTCAGAGGTGAGCATATAGGAAAATGCTGTAATTGTATGAATATATAACCTTCCATATAATAATCACTTTACATTTTAAAAGCACTTTTTTTTTTTAAAACTAATAGACATTTTTATCTCCTATCTGGTTAATAGAATTGAGTAGCATAAAATACAAAATAGTGAATAATTCTTAACCATTTATGTTCAGAGAATTATAGCATTATTCTATAGAAGGTAAACTAGAAAATCAAAATTAGCTTTGGATAAAGCATATGATCCTACTCCTCTTTTCTCCATCCTCCTCCTTTTTTTCCTCCATTTTTGTCTTAAATTATTTAGCATTAGATTTTGCCTCCACATTTATATTTGGCTTAGGCTAACATTAAACTTAGTTTGCAATCTCTGAGTCTGCACTAATAGGCAAGGGACAGAGATGCTAGATGACAGGAAGAAGCCAGCTTCATTTTAACATTTTGTCAAGGATGATCTTTGGATAATACAAGTATTGACTTCTATAACTAAAACATGGTATAATCATGCATTTATTTTATTAAATACTGTACTTTATATTTTACATTTAAAAAAATCTCTTTCCATGACTGTTTGTTTTCTCTCCTGCTTTCTTCCCTCACCCACATAAAAACTGGCTAGAGGGGCTAAGTTGTGGAAATAATACCAGGACTGAAAATTAGATTTCAAATAGTCTGGAGGAACAAAGCAGCTTCAAAAGAAATGGATGCAGGCACGTCTTTCTGGGAGAGCCAGGGGTCAGCCTGGTGATAAAGGGCCCATGTCAGCAACTTGCTGCTGCCTATCTTGAGGTGGATTTTTTTTTTTAAAGTAAAATGGCTGATTGGTAAGTGCAGATTGTGAATGTCAGGAAGGAAGTTTGATGATTGTTAAAAGTTATTTACCAAAATAAAAGATGTGTGGTAATGCTATATGGTAAAGTGTGTAAAAGGTTTTATGTTTTGCTTTTTAGAGTGGCTGGGCCTCCACTTAGACTGATTATAAGAGGCCTCATTTTTAAATGCAATACCCTATGTAAACACACACACAAATCGTTGCCATATAGGGCAAGATGATTTTCAGTGCTTTTCCACGTATAGTCCATTTGTATTTTCACCAGACACATTATTATTTTGATTAAGAGAATTCTGGTTCCATCCTGAAAGTTGCCTCATATTTCCTAACCTCTCATTCCATTCACTTCTGTAGCCTGTCATACCTAATATGGTATCAGGGGAGATTGACATCAACATGTTTTTCCCCCACTGTAGCTTTATAAAGTCTCAGTTCCATCAGGAATGTTTAGCCATTGTTAGGATATCATCACTAATTAGTCCATATACAAGCGCTTTTGGGGAATAACAAAGAAAGTTCGTAATGAATTCCAGCCACAAGAAAACATTCAGACATTCCTGCAGCTGCGCTCCTGGTTAACCAGTTTATAAAAATGGTCATATGTAGGTGGGAAATAACCTCAAAGCAGTGTTTCCAAAAGTCACTAAGTTCGGATTTACTTCAGACATCGGATACTACCAGCATTCCCTCTCCCACAAAGTTACAAAAGTTACATGTTTTAAATCGGGACAGCCAGCTGCAGAACATTAAGTTTGTTTCCAAAGTGTCCATTTTAATTCACAAAAGTATATTGGGCCATGATCTTACCATTTGTTGCATTTAAACATTCAGGTCAAGAAGTTTATTCTATAAATTCAGACAACACTACACAGGATATAGCGGTGATATTTGTCTTAGGTTTCCTGCATTTTTAGGTGTTGTTTTCTTCCTCTAACAGAATTTGCTAGACACTCAGTTACCACATTTTAGTGTGTGCGTGATGATACTGTCTAAAACAGACTATAGACTACGGTAAATAAAAAGAGCTGTAGAAATTAATTGTAGTTTGTTGTTTTTAACAAAGGAAACAATAGTCTACCAGTAAGAAGAAAAACATACTGATATTACTAATTTATCTGTGTAGGTCTTTGTGATCTGAAGATACTCTCTTACTGGAGTTAGTCTAACCTGATACAGGTGTTATGAACCTGCAAGTCAAGAATCCTATATTCCTGACTTTCTTTTTTTCTAAATTGATTTCAGAAGGGACAGATAGAAACATCAATGATGAGAGAAAATCAATTATCAACCGCCTCCTGCACTCCCCCTACTGGAGATTGAGCCCACAACCTGGGCATGTGCCCTTGACCAGAATCAAACCTGGGACCCTTCAGTCCACAGGGTGATGCTCTATCCACTGAGCAAACAGGCTAGGGCCCTGCCTTTCTTTTATTTTTACTATTAATTTGTTGAATAATCTGGGATTTAGGGATTTTAGTTGTAATTATTGTGGTTGGTGAAGAGGTTGTTTTTAACTTTTTGTTACAGTATAATGCACATATAGAAAATACATATATCATAAATACATAGCTCAAATTTTCACAAACTGAACAGCAATGTAACAAATACCCAGATCATTGAACAGAACATTATCAGCACCCAGAAGCCACCCTCATGCTCTCTTCCAATCGCGTAAACCACAATCCCCCGCAAAGGGGTAACCACAATTTTCACTTCGAAAAGCAGAAATTAGTTAGGTATGTTTTTGTAGTTCATATAAGCAGAATGAATCATATAGTACATATTCCTATATCTGGCTTCTTTCTTTCACCCAATCTTATGTTCATGAAATGTATTTATATTACCGCTTGTGGTTATGGACTTCATTCTCATTGTTATATGTCATTCCATTGTGTGAATTGTAAGCACAGAGCTTACAATTTTACTATTACTGTTTTACTATTTTGGGACATTGGGTAGTTTCCAGGTTTTGATTATTGTGAGAAATGTTTCTATGAACATTCTATACATACATGTTGGCATTTCTGTTGGGCATATACTTAGGGATGGGATTGTTAGGTTTCAGGGTGTGCATATGTTCCACTTTGGCAGAAACAGTCAAATACACCCTCAGAGTGGTTGTAACCCACCATTGCTTTTGAATATGAAAAATGAGAAAGCCAGAGTAGTTCTCACCTTCTGGTAATGACTGTGAAACAGATTAATACAAGTATTTTAGGTACCTCAGTGGCACATACTTGGGAGTAAAGAATAATTTTGCAATTTCCTTCCTATTCAAAAACTCATAAAATAATTCTGATATTTAACTTCCAAGACCTACAGTGAAGACCTGTATACCATCTAAATCGTAGTCACCTCTACAGTTAGCCTTACCCTAATCAGAAGATTCAAGTTGAGTCGTCAAGGTATGGCCATTAACTTTAGACAGTACTGTCTGCAGTATAATCAGAATTGACATTTTAATTTCACAAGTTAAGGATTTATTCTGGGTGTTCAATGCCCACTTATCATCTAAAGCAGGGGTCCTCAAACTTTTTAAACGGGGCCAGTTGACTGTCCCTCAGACCATTGGAGGGCCGGACTATAGTTTAAAAGAAAACTATGAACAAATTCCTATGCACACTGCACATATCTTAGTTTGAAGTAAAAAAACAAAACGGGAACAAATACAATATTTGTATGTGCATGTGGCCCGCGGGCCGTAGTTTGAGGACCCCTGATCTAAAGTATAGCCATAGATAGCCATAGGGCCCAATTTTCTGCCTCGGTTCCAAAGTCTGAAGTATTTCACATGATCCATTCAGCTTTTTCAATGACTTTCTTTCTTCCTTCCTTCCTTCCTTCCTTCCTTCCTGCCTTCCTTTCTATTTCAGAGAGGAAGGGAGAGAGAGAGAAACATCAATGATGAGAGAGAATCATTGATCAGCTGCCTCCTACACACTCCCTACTGGGGATCGAGCCCACAACCTGAGCATGTGCCCTTGACTAGAATCAAACCTGGGACCCTTCAGTCCGCAGGCCGATGCTCTATCCACTGAGCCCAACCAGCTGCAGTGGTCGGCAAACTGCAGCTCGCGAGCCACATGTGGCTTGCGAGCCGCAGTTTGCTGACCACTGGGCTAGGGCATCAATGTATTTCTTTCATAGTGCGTTCTCACGGGTGTGACAGTAAGGTTGTCACTTTTGCCATTATTTAGAGCTCATGATAAAAAACTTTCTATACTCTTACTAGCCCACTATGTTGTATATCCCATCTACTATATAATATACATATACTAAGATTAGTTCCCAGAAGAAAGCTCCTTATGTAACTGTGTTCATGGGTTGGAAGGCCACATCCCATGAGGATATCCAATAAGTCACGTTTTTTATGACCTTAACAACTTCTAAAGCCTATGGTTTACCTTTTTCAAGTATAAAAAGCCATACTTTTTAGGTGCTGGTTTTAAACAGAGAAAAAATGACAAACATGTCTAGGATGGAGTCTCTGGGTAGACAAACGGGAGATTTAAAAGCAACTAGGATTATATATGTGTGGATGCATACTGTCTAGCATTTCCTTTCCGATTCATATGCTGCTAAGCAGAATTAAGTTAAAGTAAATGGAATATGAGACTGGATGAAAGACCTAAATTATAAGACCAAGACAATAAGTTACATAGAAGAAAGCATAGGAACCAAACTTATGGACTTTGGTCTTAGAGAACATTTTATGAACTTGACCCCAAAGATAGGGAAGTAATGGCAAAAATAAATGAATGGGACTATATCAAACTCAAAATCTTCTGCACAGCAAAAGAAACTGACAACAAAACAAAGAGGCAGTCAATCAAAGGGGCGATGATATTTGCAAACAGTAGCTCTGAAGCTCTGTGCTTACAATTCACATTAGTTATACTCGTGTGAGAGTGATGGTTAGTCTTAACCTGGGCCTGAAATAATTCAGAGGCTAATCATAAGTATCAGTATGTTATTTATAATAATAAAAGCATAATATGCTAATTAGACCAGATGTCCTTCCAGACGTCCTGCCTTCCAGACAAAGCCATGGCAGGCAGGGGCCGAGGCAGAGGTGGCAGACGCCCCCCAGCTGTTGCATCGAATTTCATGCATCGGGCCTCTAGTAGATTATAAGACAACTGTCAGATAATGCTTTGGTAT